TTACATTATCTATTACACGTAGGACATAATCCACCATACGTAACGTGTATTTTACAATATCTATTACACGCAGAATACATATTTAACGTGTATTTTACAATATCTATTACACGTAGGACATAATCAATTACATGTATAATATTATTCATTTAAAATTATATCATTTTAAATTTGGTTAATTTATGGTTTATTAAAACCATCTAATTGAATATACCAAAACAATCATCTATCATCTGTATATTTATTATTAATTTAGTTTATTTGAAAAAACTTTCTCTCATCCTGAATATCATATTTTACGAAAACTGTCAAATTTCATCAACATTAAAGCATTGTGATGAAATTTCACTTTAAACAGTCATTAAATCCACTTTTTTTTTAAAAAAAAAGGAAAAAAGGATAGAATAATTCAATCTTTCAAATATTTCAAATAATTTTTCCAAAACATAAAATATTTTCATTCCATAATTCATTCATTTTATAATAATTTCTAAGAAATTACATAATTTCCTTTTTTTTTCTATCTTTTATGAAATCAAACTAACAATTATATGAAATAATTTAAATGAAATAAAAAAGTTAATTAAAACTAGCTAATTGGCTAAATCTTTTTTTTTGGAAGGAAATAAATAAAAAATGAAATAAACTCAGATTATTTGATGACCATTTCCAGATGGTGACAACTATTTACGATTTCTCTTCAATATCGATATAAAAATTAATTTCATTTTTCTCCTAAAACAAAAAAAAAGTTATTGATAAAAGCATTAAATGATTCATCCCTATGATTTTAGAAATGGTTTAGGCTTTTAGAAATAGCTGTCAGATGCAATAATTTTTCCATCTCTTATTTTTCATCTATGCTTAACATATTTGATACTTAATTACTTAAAACCAAATTGATGCCAGGAAAAGGAGGAAGAGTTTAAAGTAAAAAATTCATTTTAAAAAAAATGAAAGAATTCTAATTGTACATATCATTTCTTTTTTTTTTAATTTATATTATGAACCAATAAAATTACTATTATGTAATAGAATTGAAAATAGATGATAAGCTGATAAGCTGATAAAGTTGATAAGCACTGCAAATAAGCTAAAGAAGGAAAAAAAATTCAACCAATTAAGCAATTGATTTTGAATGATGTATTTCAAATATTGATAAATATTTCTAGACCTTTTTTTTTTTTCTTCATTATTTGTACTCTTTTAACTTCCTCATACTGAAATTATTTTTACTTGGAATTAATTTATTATTTCTATTCCAGCCTAATTGGTATATTTAATAATTATGAAATGATCAATCATTTATTCCATCAGTTGTAATTTAATTAAATTAATTTGTCAATTAGTCAAATTAATTAATGTTAGCTAATTTGCTAATACTATTATTTAGCTCAAATTAGTTATTCATTTATTCGATCAATTCAAACAATTCAAATTTCATCTAATTAATTCATTTGGTAAATCATCAAATGGGGGAGGGGGAGGGGGGGCAAACTTCATTTAGCTTAACTTAACAAACAATGTTCAATAATTTAACTCAATTTTTCCATTTTCTCTTTAACATTTTTCAATAATAAAAATCTGTTCAACATATGGTAGCAAAAATTTCAAACTGCTAACTTACATAGTTTTCCTCCCCCGCACATTTTCCGCGCTTCCCCCCGCCCCCGCCTCTCATCCATTCTTATCCCATCCTAAAAAATCCATAAATATTTTCTCCCAATTTCCTTTTTTTTTTTTTTAAAGAGATTTGAAATCAATGTTTTAAACCCAACCATTAGCTATTACACATAGACAGACATATGCAGGCGCTCATAAATATACACACATACACATTTGCGACATATAACACAAACATACATACACACACATATATACACATACACTCACATACACACATACATACATACATACACATACACACATACACATATATATGCACATTTCACATTTATTTCCTCAGTAACCCAAGTATTTATTGGATAAAATATCAAAGTAAAACATTTATTTGTTTATCAAATTTTTTGGAAATTTCAAGAAAGGTATATTTTTTAATTTAAATTTAAGTCTAAAATATATTCAAATTTAAATTCTTTCATTATTTAACAGCAATAATTACAATTTAATCTCACTCTTTCCTTTTCTTTCTTTTTTATTTATTATAATATTACAATTATATTTGTTAATTACTAATAATATACAATCATTTTTAGCTTAAAGTTATCTCTATATGACTTTTCTTTCTTATTTCATCTCATCCTCTCTTCCTAATTTACTAAAATTATTATCTTACACCAAATGAATATTAACAATTTTTCTGTTATTTTCATTTATCTTTCTTTCTTTCTTTTTCTCATAAATAATTATTGCATATTTCCTGTAATTTACGTTTTCACGTTTCAAATATCACGTAGCACACGTATCACACGTCATATATGTATTATTCATTTTTGACATTCATACTACTTTATATTACAATTTTTATTTCACCATCTTTTCCCAGTTTATCCCTAATTTACTTCTAGCTAACATTTACCATTCATATTGTCATTAGGTCGGAAGTGGAAAATAGTCATTAAATGTTTACTGCTACATTAAATTATATTTTTTTTTTAATATGTGTCATCTGTTCTTGTCATTTCTGTCCTTTTTAAATGATTCAAAAAATATGTCACGCATGTCTAAATGTCACTGAAATAATACACTTCCATCGAATGGGTTGCTCATTTCAAATTCTCATTAAAATTGCAATTAACTGAAATGCAAGCAATATTTATGCAACTGAAATGGCAATTGTGAACATTAAAAATTTTTCAATGCATAAAATGCAATGTATGCAAATTTCATATGTAAATGATTTTGCAATTGCAAAAATTTTGCAATGAAATTAATATTTTTTACAAAATTTATCAAAAATATTTTAATATTATAATAATTATGCAATGCATGCATTGCATACATTCATGCATGCATGCATGCTTGCATGCAATTTATTGCTATCATTTATGATAATAATATTAAACTTATTATAAATTTATTTAATATTTTGCATTACAATTTAATAATTTTTTGCATTTATTAAATAATTTACATTTTTAGAAAATTTAAAATGAAAGAAAGAAAAAAAAGATTAGCAAAGTATTTGATAAGGATATCAAAAATTTTTTTGATGTTTAATAATTTTTTGAATATTTTTTATGTAAATATTTTGAATGATACATGATATATGACGTAAACATGAAGGCTAATTGTATTCAAGCGCAAATGTATTTCAAGGCTAGTTGTATTCAAGCGCAGATGTATTTGAAGGCTAAATTGTATTCAAGCGCAAATGTATTTAAAGGCTAATTGTATTCAAGCGCAAATGTGTATTACTATTTAATAGCTATTTAAAAATTTTTTAGACAAAAATTTGTTTTCTTTTTTTCTTTAATATATAAAATTTCTCGTTTAAAAATATCACTATTTATATCTTTTTTTTTTTTTCTTTCTCTCCTCAACTTCATTTCTCTCTTTCTCTTTCTCAGGGAAAAAAAAAG